ATCTCACTTTAGCCTGAATAATCTTTCCTTTAGCATTTCTGTGGTGCAGGTCCGCGGACAATAAATGCTCTTAGTTTCCTTTTATCTGAAAATGTCCTTAATTTGCCTTTACTCACAAAGGATATTTTCACTACACGTAGAATTCTGGATTAACAGTTTTTTGCTTTTCCCCCCCCTCATTTGTACTTTAAAAATATCATTCCACTTTTTCCGGCCTTTATAAATTCTGATGAGATGGCAGTGTTCATTTAAAGCATTGTTCCACCAAAGATACTGTGCCATTTTTCTCTGGCTACTATCAAGATTCTCTCTTTATTGTTGGTGCTCACCAGTTGGAATATGATGTACCTATGCACAGTTTTCTTCAAATGTATCCCATTTGGGGTTCACTGCATTTCTTGATCTATGCATTTATGTATTTCACCAAATTTGAAAATTTGGGCCCATTATTTCTTCAAATATTTTTTCTCTTTCATTCTCTTTCTCTTCTCCTTCTGAAACTCCAATTACATGTAAGCTAGGCATTTTAATTTCTGTTACACAGGTCCCTGAGTCTCTGTCTATTTTTTCTATTCAGTAGTTTTAAGTCCTTTTTTCTTTCTGTTCTTCCAAAAGAAAATTTCTATGGATCTCTTTAAGTTCACTGACACTTTCCTTTTTTACCTCCAGTTGCTGTAAGTATACTCAATGAGTTTTTATTTCAAATATTGTATTTTCAGTTTCAGAATTTCTATTTGGTTCTTTTTGCAGTTTCTGTTTACTACCTTCTTATTCATTGTGAGTTTATTTTCCTATTATTTGTGGAGCATGGTTAGAATAGCCACTTTAAAATCTTTGTTAATTCCCACATCTGGCTCATCTTGGAATCGGTCTCAGATAATTGCCTTTTGTCTTCAGAATGAGTCAATTTTATTGGGTTTTCATAGATCATGTAATTTGGGCTTGTATGATTTGCAAGTATGTATGTTATGGTATGAAGAGTTTGAATCCTGTTACAGTTTTTTGAAGGGTATTGATTTATTTAGTTATACTCAAATTTCAAACTATTCCTTGGGTGGTAGCTCAAACTTCAGTTCAGTTCTTTTACCTTTGTGATAATTTGTGTCTGCTCCATCCAAGAATATACACATGACATATACCTCAAAATTATATGACGTGATCTCACTTGGAATTTTATCAAGAGCATATTCATCTACAATTCTTACACCTTTTTAATATGACTTACTATTATGGAATATTCTTCTTTATCTCTGGTAACTCTTTTTGTCTGAAAGTTTAGTTTGTCTCACATTAATAAATCCAAGAGTCAGCCAGAAATTTGGGTAGTGTTTATATACAGATTTGGGAGTTTCCCCTCTCTGCCTCTCCTCTTTCCAAGATTCTAAATTCATTTTCCTGTGGCTATGATTGCCCTGAACCTTGTTCTTTGGGTCTTCAAACCAAAAACACTGTGAGTTTTCTATTGGAGGCTGGCCATTTGAAGTGACATTAATTTTAGCCTGCTTTCAGTCTAAAAGTTGTAAAATGGGAAACTCACTCCGGATGGATCTGTGCTTCCAAGTTTTGAATTTCAGCTCCCTTCCAGAATCTTTCTGCTTACTTTTATTCTCTAGTAATTTCTTTTTTTCTTTTCTTTTTTTTCTTTTTTTTTTTTTTTTGGTCTTTTGGTACTTTATAGTTGATATCTGTGACAATTTCAGGTCCAGTAGAACTTACTTAGCCATACTGGAAATGGAAACAAGTAAAAACATTTAGGAAACATTGCTTTGCATTTCCTAACACCTCTCCTCAAAATACTTAACCTCCATCCATTCCCTCATTTAGTGACATTTGAGTTTAGTTTTAAGTAGAAATAGAAGACAGGGTCAGGGCTTCCTTGATCATCTTGCCAAGTACATGAGAAGGCTTGGAATGAAAACACAGCGTAAAGTTAAATGATAGAATGGTAGAACATCAATCAATTCTAGCTCTTAGACTGGTGGCATTTAATCTCAAAGCAATGAGACTTATACAGAATCATGACTATCAGTGATAATCTACATGATACTTTGCCACATTATTTTACCTTATTTCTTTGGTCTCAGATATCTCTAAATCCTGACTCATTGAAAACTGCAATAGATAATATCCCAAGAGAAATACAATACTGAAAATCCTAAAATACTAATCCAGAGTTGGTGATTGCATAATTCCTTCTAATCACAATCATTATGGCTTCCATTTCTTGAAAGATTTGTATACCAGCCACCTTGCTAACCACTTTACATAAATCGTCAGTTAATCCTTCACAACTATTCTTTGCAGCAGTTCCCTAGAATAACTAGCTTCATTTTATGGAGGAAGAAACCAGAGTTCTGAGAGGTTGAGTTCACTAAGAGCACACAGCAAACAGTAGAACTCTGAGTCTGTCTGTGTAAACACAAGAAATAGCAAAGGGGTTTTGAAGACATCGGGCACATATCCTTCACTATTAGGAGACAAAATATATGTCTTTCTAGGAGTAAGTAGGGTTTCTAAAACTTAAATAGTCTACAGTTCTTTTTTTTTTTTTTTGAGATGGAGTCTTGCTCTTTTGCCCAGGCTGGAGTGCAGTGGCGCGATCTTGGCTCATTGCAAACTCTGCCTCCTGGGTTCATGCCATTCTCCTGCCTCAGCCTCCCGAGTAGCTGGGATTACGGGCACCTGCCACGACACCCGGCTACTTTTTTGTATTTTTTTAGTAGAGACGGGGTTTCACTGTGTTAGCCAGGATGGTCTTGATCTCCTGACCTCGTGATCTGCCTGCCTCGGCCTCCCAAAGTGCTGGGATTACAGGAGTGAGCCACCGTACCCTGCCAGTTTTTTTTTTTTATCAGTAATTATTAATATTAAAATGCCACCCTTCCAGAAACAATATATTTTATATTGACAGCTTTTATGTTTAAAAAGAGCCTTCTGGATGGGCCCAATGGCTCATTCCTGTAATCCCTGCACTTTGGGAGGCTGAGATGGGTGGATCACTTGAGGTCAGTAGTTCCAGACCAGGCTGGCCAACATGGTGAAACCCTATCTCTACTAAATATACAAAAATTAGCTGGGTGTGGTGGCTTGTGCCTGTAATCCCAGCTACTTGGGAAGCTGAGGCATGAGAATTGTTTAAACCCAGGAGATAGAGGTTTCTGTAAGCTGAGATCGCACCACTGTACTCCAGCCTGGGTAACAGAGGGAGCCTCCGTCTAAAAAAAAAAAAAAAAAAAAAAAAAAAAAA